GTCCCCTTGCGTAGAAAGAGGAGGCGACAGCCGCTGAGCCCGCTCGCCGCCGGCTCTGCCTCTCCGGAACCTCGGTCCACTCGGCCGGTCCGCGCCATCCCCGCCACCCCCGCGCGGCGCGCGGCTCCACCCAGGCAGGGCCCAGGGGTTCCCCGCCCCTGGCCGGTACTCACGCCCGCCGCCGCGGTGGGGACGGTGGATTTCTCCGCGGCTCGGGTCGAGCCGGGCCGCCTCCGGCCGCGGTCCTCCAGGCTGAGGAGCTCGCCGGACAGGTCCAGGGAGCCGGCGGCCGAGGACGTGGTGGAGCGGCTGTGCAGCTCCGTGCTGCTGCGGAGGACCACCATCGTGCCGCGCTGCAGGAGCCGGGACCCGTGGCGACGGAGAGCAGGCCGGTGCTCGGCGGCTTTACCTCGCAGGCGCTGCCGCGCTCCGAATTCTGGCGCCACAAACTGCGCGCCCAGCGGCCTCAGCGTGCGCGCGCGCGCCGAATCCCTCCGCCGCCGGCCCCGCCCCCGCCGCCGGCCCCGCCCCCGCCGCCGGCCCCGCCCCCGCCGCCGGCCCAGACCGACGAACCCGAGGCTCTCCTCGCCGTCTGCAGAGCGCGGGAGCCTGTGCGCACGTGAGCCGGGACGCCAGCAAACACAGTGGAGCGCCGCCCACCAGGAACTTGCGAGTCCTTTCTTCCTCCTATAGTTCCGGCTCGCCGCCTTCAGTGGAGGGAGACGGAGCGAGCGGTGCAGCGTCTGGTTTGGAATTTTGGCGCGCGTTAGCCGAAGGCCCCCTTTGGCCACCTGCCGGTTCTTTCCCGCCATCTAGGCAAAAAAAAAAAAAAAGTCCTTAAAACCGCTGCAAGCACTTTGCCTTTGAGAGGGAGGGAAGAGGTTTTTGTTGATGGAACGAACGAACGAAAATAAATTAACTACCGGAAATAAAGGAAACCTAATGGTCCTTAAATAGAGTTAAGAGAGTTGGGATAGATCATCACACAATACATACCAGGGATAAGACTGTAAAGTCCCAATCTTACAAAACTACTAAGTTGTTGTAAACTGTTAAAGATCATTAAGGCGTGCAAGTTAATGGTCAGTCATCTTATAAGTGACCAAATTCTTTAATGTGCTTAGAACTACGTATTCGTGCTAAGTACTCTGCCTCGAAAAAGTAGTTCTGTTCCCCCAGAATTCCTCTGAAAAACTTAACGCTGCTGCTCTGAGTGGTGGTGCCAGACTGAGGTCCTCTGACCCAAACTACTCATCAAGATCACTTTGGAGTAATTTGGCAGAAGGAGGAGAAAATAAGAGATATCTAAATGTTCCTGTTTGAACAGATATTATTGAGTTTCTAACCTTTCCAGCTCTGGCCCATTTTGATTATTTTGATTAGAGATTCTTTTTTTTTTTTTTTTTGTATTTCAGTACAAGGCTTCTTTGCATAGGTCTGACTTTCCTGGAACTAGCTCTGCAGACCAAGCTGGCCTGGAACTCACAGCCACCTGCCTCTACCTCCCAAGTGCTGGGATGAAAGGTGTGTGACACCATTGCCCAGTGGTATTCTCTTAATAAATATTTTTCTGTTTTCTGTTTCTACCACTATCCACATGTCTCTAGCCAATTCTTTGTTCTGAGACAGAAGAAACTGGAAATCCTAGTGGGCATCTGTTGGACCCTGATAGCTATCTATAATAACATCTATAATCCCTTGAATGCTGGTATTTCGTGACTGTATCATTTTCTGTAGTGCCAGCAATTACATCAAGGGTTTCTTTCATGGTAGGCAAACATTCTACCAACCGAGCTACATCTCTAGTCACCTGCATCTTAATTAAAAAGGGTTTATGAGTGGCTGAAGAGCACTGGCTGTTCTTCCAGGGGACTTGGGTTCAGTTCCCAGCATCCACATGGCAGCTCACAGCTATCTGTAATCCAGTTCCAGGGTACCCTACACCCTCCTGCAGGCAAAACACCAATGTACATAAACTAGAAAAGAAGAAAAAAAATGAATCTGGCTCTGGAGAAATAACTCAGTAGTTGTGAACACTTAGTGTTCTTTCAGAGGAGCCAAGTTCTGTTCCTGTTACTGATGTTAAAAAGGGGGGGGTTGTTATGCCCAGTCCTAATGCTTAGTCTTTGTTCAGAGAGATACGAGAATAATGATACACTCATAATTTCAAAATGATGCAGTTTTTTTTTGTAATCAGGTATTCAGTCACAACCATCATAGAAACCACTGTTTTAAGATACTTAAAGAAACATTTATGTAGTTTCTAACATCTGTGTCAGTAGGATGACTTCCCCTCCCTCCCTTCCTCCGCTCCCACTAAAAGGACTGCTCGGGAAAGCTAAACATTGCTGGGAAATTTTACTATTTGTTCTTGCACTTAATGACAGGCCCTGACCACCCCCCCCAACATTTACTAAAAAAGATCTTATAGCTATCACTCTGTATCATGTATCTTTGGCAATTCAGAAGTCTTTCTTAAGGGCTGAGACCCATTCCTTTGAAATGGAATTATCAGGAAGGGATATGGTTAACTTTTTGAGGACTCTGTGGTGAGAGGGCTACACTTCAAATAACCTAACCGTGACTGTGACTTACATGGTTATGTGCCAGCAACTACTTGTAGTGGGAAAACCGGTAAAGTTTTCAGTTTGTTTTGTTTGTTGAGACAGGATTTCTCTGTAGCATTGGAGCCTGTCCTGGAACTCATTCTGTAGACCAGGCTGGCCTTGAACTCACAGAGATCTCCCTGTCTCTGGGATTTACAGGCGTGCGCTACCGCTGTTGGGATGGGAAAGCCATTATATCTGGCATGTTGGAATTGTTTTCAGGTGCACCTAAGCCCAGAGGACTCAGTTTAACCAACAATTAAGCGATTTATATACAGAAACTCAGCCCTTGTAGCAGACCTATTTAGATAATAATACTGTTAACTTCATTTTACAGAGGTGGAAACTGAGGCACAGGGAGTAGGGTGGTGGAGAGGTAACTCAGCTCAAGGACACACACTTATTAACAGGTAGAACCTGCTAGTTGCATTCTAGGTATGGTGATGTGTCCCTGTAATTCTAACACTCGGGTGGTAGCCGGTGTGGGCTATGAGACCCTGTCTCTCCACCACCTTTGCACCCCCCTCTCAGCCCAGAATCATCAGGAGACAAGCACAGATTAGACTGCTGTTGAATAGAAAGTGGTAACTAGGGTCTGGAGAGTGGGCTCAGTGGTTAAGAACATGGATTGTACATGCAGAGGACCTGAGTTCAATTCCCAGAACCCACATCAGGCAGTTTCCAGGGGATGGCCCTAACCTCGGACACTTGCAAATATGCAGATAGATATGCACACATAGCTGTAAATCAATGATAATAAAAATATTAAAAAAAGAAAGTGGTAACTCCTGTCTATCTCCTTGAGGAAGGCTTGGCTTGGCTTTGAGAAGGCAGCTCAATTTGCTCGTAATTGATGTACAGTTGCTGGGCAGACGAGAACCCCTGGAACATGGTGTGTGTGTGTGTGTGTGTGTGTGTGTGTGTGTGTGTGTGTATATGGGTGGGGGATGGGTGGTGTGTGGGGCAGTTGGCACACGAAGACAGAGTGTGAAGCAGGGGTGAGTCCTGGGATAAGAGGACTAGTAATGGAGGAAAGAGGTTAGAAGTTTACTGTGTGATCCCCTGGCCACCCACAGTTGTGTCCAGAGGGTTGAAGAAAGGTTAAATCTTCCAGGTCACGAGGAACCAAATTCTGGGCCTATGTCCAGAGCTGACTCCACGCCATAGCTAAGATGATCATAGAAACTGGCAGCAAGGAGCCTCTTTCCTTTGCAATGTCTCTTCAGCCTTCTACTGCGAATGCTGAACTTCTCCATCACTTGACAAGGAACAAGAACAGTTTTATTGACTTTTTGTTTTTTGCACTTAGCCTCTTTTGAAGCCAATATTCAAGCCGAAGCAATAAATTGGCAACAGACATCAGACATGAACACGTATTTATCTTAGTTTTTAATTCAATTTTATTTTATTTTGAGTTATGGGTTTTGGAAGGCAGCTACACTAACCAATATACTACCAGCACAGCACTTTATGGGTTTTGGAACTGAGGTTGAGTCTGTGGGTGGCCTATAAACCAATCTTAAGAATTACAGGATTTTTTTCTTGGTAGGGAAGTTCCCTGAGCAGTTACATATGTTCATTACAAACACAGGAAACGAGTAAGTCTAAAGAGACAATTCACTATGAATAATCACTGTTTTGACAATTTTGGTGTCTTTCCTTCTGAAAATAAATACGATTAATACAGAATGGTATCCAGACTCTATTTAATCCTTTTTTTTTTTCTTTTGAGAAAAATTCTTATGTAGTTCAGGCTGGCTTTGCACTCAAAGCTATCCTCCCGCCTCAGTCTCCTGCATGCAGGGTTAGGTGCCAAGTACCACACCTGGCTAAAACTTTACTTACTAGATCAGTCTATCTTTCTATATTTACAGATACACATAAAAATATCCAAAATTAAAATAAATTAAACAACACTCTGATGAGATTTGTGCAACCCCTCAGTTACATTTTTCCTCTTTCTAGGTTTCCTGCTCTGAAACTTCAGCTTTCTCGCCCAACCATCTCTTATTTTAGAGTGGTTCCCGATTCCACACAGCTGGCATCGCCACCTGAAGGCGTCCAGGCCCACGCAGCGCAGCGCGAGAACCCCAGCTTGGTCGGGGGAGGAGGAGCCCCTCGGTGGGTCCCACTCTGCCACTCACCACGTAAGGCCGGGCAAGGACCACACCGGTCTCCGCAGCCTAGGATTCACGGCCCCAGAACACGCTCCTCCAGCCCCGCCCCACCCGAGCCCCACCCACCCGAAGCCCCGCCCACCCCACCCGGAACCACGCAGTCTTCTCTGCGTACCCCGGGCTCCGCCCTCACGCTGCGCTGGATCCCGCCCACCCGGCTCTAGGCTGTTCCCCTCCCCCGAAAACAGCGCTTGACGGTGCCGGCTGTGTGCGCTCCGCCCGGGGAAGTGGCTACGCGGTGCTGCAAGCCGGTCGTGCGCTTGTTCCTGCGGCCATGGAGGGGGACGGCCCCACCGCCAGGGTCTCGCAGTACCAGCCGGCCTGCCCGACGCGGGACGCGTGTGTCTACAGCAGCTGCTATTGGTGAGAGAGCGCGGGCGCGGCGCCCGGGGTCTGCGCGCTGGGGCGCGCGCGCCGTTACCAAATGCTTCCTCCTCCCGGCCCTCGCCGGAGCTGAGCAGGCCTGCTCCGCCCGGGTTTGGGGTTTGGCGCGGAGGGTGGGGGGCGCGCCCCTGGGCAGTGGGGTGCAGTTGAGGCGCGTCTGAGTGCCTGGGGACCAGAAAGGAGAGTTAGGCTGGAGACCCCGAGATTGAAGTGCAGGTCAGTTTTAATTTTAAAGACAATGGAGGCACAGAGTTTGAGGGAAGCCCAATCAGGTGGTAATGGTTGCATCTGCATTGTCCTTGCCAGACGCCAAGCATGGTCTTGGGTGCTTTACGCGGACCAACTCAGTTGAACCCCACAGTAACCCCAGCAGGCAGTTACTGTTGTGATCGCAGTTTTAAGGAACTCCGAGGCACAGAAAGAAGGTACTGGGACAGCTCTTTTTCTCGGCCTCAGGCTGTGAGGCTAGTGTCCTAGGCTGCAGCTCTTGCTCTCCTAGGCTTCTTCATACCCACACCTCATCTTCCTTTCCCTGTGTAAGGACTTCTTCCCCAACCCAGGGGAAACCTCAGGGTCATCCAGATCTACCCCTCCCCCCCCTTCATCTGGTCGCCTAACCAATGACACTAAGAACTTGTTTATTCGGCAGTCACCTCGGTAGCCCGAGTGTTTGCAGTGGTCCCCAGCCTTCCCAGTGCTGTCACCGTTTAGCTATATCCCAACCATAAAACTATTTTGTTGCTACTTCATAACTGTAATTTTGCTAGTTATGAATCGTAATGCCAATATCTCATAGGTGACCCCCAAGGGGTCGTGACCCACAGGTTGAGAATTGCTAGAAGATTTATCTCCAGCACCAAAGCTGAACCATAGAGTGACTGTGGTTTGTCCCATACCGCACAACTAAGTGTTGGAATGAAATCTGGAGTCTGTGACGGTTGGAGTTCTAAGAGCTGTTGCATTGTGTACCTGCCCCTCCTGGTTCCCCGAGTCCTGCTAGTTTTTATCTGGAAACTTTGATTCCTCTGAGGATATAGCAGTGACCAAAATGGATACATTTCCTGGCAAGATCTCATGATTCATATATTTCAGTGGGGGAGGGGGGCGCGACACAGACACCAGCAAGGAAACTTAGTTTAGTTTGGCTGGTGGTAAGGGCTGTAAGAGAGATGGGAAGAGGGATAAGACGATGGTGGCTAATACTGCTTCATGTTAGGGTGTTTAAGGAAGACATTGTTGATAAGGTGATACTGAGGTCTGAGGAAAGATTTTAGGAGGTCACTTCAGGCAGGTAGCACGGAAGCCCTGAGAAGGATCGGAAGCCCTGAGAAGGATCGGAAGCCCTGAGAAGGATGGCTGTGCTATCTGTAGGAGCAAAAAGCGGCGTGGCGAGAAGTGCAAGAGTGGCAAGAGGTAACATCTCTTCAGTAGGTGATCTAGCTCCTTCTGGCTCCTTCAGCTACAGCAGAGCCTTCCTCCTCTGCCATCATGGGACTATTCCAGTTGCTTCCTAATAGGTCTGTTTACCTACTTCCCTTTGATGGTTAATATTATCTATTTGACTGGGTCTAGAATCCCCGGAGAGACAAACCTGTGGGCATCTCCATGAGGGAGTTTCTCCACTGGCTTGAGATGGAAGATCCACCCAAAATGTGGGCAGCCACGTTCCTTGGACTGATGTCCCAACCTGATTAAAAGTGGCAAACAGAGCTGGGCACCTGTATTTGTGCATCTCAGACTTTGGATGCAGCGTGGAGTGGCTGCTTCGTGCTTTCCTCACTGTCAAACTGAGCTAGAATGGACCCTTTATTTCCTAAGATGATGTTGTAGCTGGGCAGTGGTGGCACATGCCTTTGATCCCAGCCCTGGGAGGCAGAGGTAGGCGCATCTCTGAGTTCCAGGCCAGCTTGATCTACAGAGCGAGTTCCTGAACAGCCAGGGCTACACAGAGAAGCCCTGTCTCAAAAAACAAACAAAAAGATGCTGCCATAACAATAGGAAGAGTAACTAACACTCTTTAAATCTGCAGATCTTTACCATTTGCTGGTTTCATACTGCTCAAAACTATTCTCAACTTGAATGTGATGAGGGCTCATGTGAGAGCTTGAAAAACCTCACCATCTTAGAGTTCTACCCCAGAGAGTTTGGGTGTACAGTGAAGGAGTAGAAGGCTTTGCTCATCTCTACAGTTATTAATTAATTAATTAATTAATTACTTATGTGTGTGGGTGTTTTGCCTGCATATCCATCCATACATGTACTACTAGGAGGCTAGTAAAAGATTTCCCAAACACTGGGATATAGGGCTGAGTCTTTGCGAAGAGCAGCCAGTGCTTTTAACTGCTGAGTCATCTCTCCAAACTTCCAGTCCTCCCCTCCCCCAACCTACCTTAAAGACAGGATCTCACTGTCTGTCCTAAAACTTGCCATGTAAACCAGGCTGGCCTCCAACTCACAGAGATATGCCCGCCACCACCTCCTGAGTGCTGGGATTAAAGGCCTGAGCCACCATGGCAGGTTTGCTGATCCTCTTGTGGGATACTCTTAGAGATAGCAAAGTCCATGAGAGTATCAGTGGCCATCTGGTTTATTTGCTCAAGGCCTGTGTTTTCCCAACCTCATTTTGAACCTACCTTCTCTGGCCTGTTGCAGAGTTCTCAGCCTTGGCTCTGTAGGCATTTTCAGTGTCAAGCCTTTGTTCCATGAGTGTTAGGGTGTGTAATTTGGCCTGTATCATATAGATGCTATTACCAGCCCCCCCTCCCAGGTCGTGACAACCCAGCATTTCTCTAGACGGTGCTTGTTGTGCTGTGATTGGCATGTCAATAGGCACACCTGAGTGTGTTTGTTTCTCCAGGTTCTTTTAACTGGAAATAAATGCCTCTTCTGTTGTATTCTGGAAGATGTTCCTTATCTTTCCAGATCCCACTTACTGCTTGTGGGGCTGTGTGGTTTTTCAGGTCCCCCTTCCTTCCCCTTCCCACCGCAGTGCTGAGTATTGAACCTGTCTAGCATGCCGTGGAGATACATCCCACTTGCGTTAGGGCTGCCCCACCCTGTCTGCTTCTGAATTCTGCTCCAGTTGTAACCCCTGCAGCAGTCTGTTGCTTTGTTAGCCTTTTCCTATGGGTAAGATCACATGAAACCCTAGAGACAGAATTATCAGCACCCCGTTTTATTTTTCCATTTAACAGTTAAGTAGGTGCCAGAATCTGTAACAAACAGAGTACTTTCTCTCCCTGTTGCAGCTCACAGCATTTCCAATTGTAAGGACCTCACTCCAAGCCACCCTAACATCAAAAGTTGTGAGGCAAGGTGGTGAGAGAGACGGCTGAGCTCCTCTACAAGACTGCAGTGATGCCAGCTGCTGCTTGATGGCTCACAGCTGTCCATAACACCAGTTGCAGGAGAGCTGATGCCCTGTTTGGACCTCCGTAGGCGCTGCACACATGTGCTGCACAGATATACATGCATGCAAAACACTCCTACACATACAATAAATCTTTATTAAAAAAAAAAAGTTTCATGAGTTGGGTCTATAATACTAGCACCCACAGGCAGAGGTCAGGAAGGTAACCTTAAGTTTGAGTCTGGTCCAGAGTTCATAGCAAGTTCCAGGGCAGACCCTGTTTCAAATGTCAAACAACAGAAATTGCATGATACTCCTCAACTTAGTATTAGTTGTATTAGTGAAAAATAATTGATGGCTGGATTTAGTGGCATATGCTTTCAGTCTTAGCACCCAGGAGGAGGCAGAGGCAGGAGGATATTCATGAGTTTGAGGCCAGCCTGGTCTACATAGTGATTCCAAGCCAGTCAGAGCTATGTAGTAAGACCAAAGAAAAGAAAAAAGGAACTTAGTTTTATTATTAATTTTTTGCCCTGTGTAACATTCACACAGATTTGAAAACTAATGGGTAGTGTGTATTCAAGCCAAGTCACATATTCTGCCTACTAATGTTGCTTGTGGACTAGTGAACCCTGCATTAACTCCAGACCCACCTGTAGGGTGGAGATGGGGGCAGGGCAGAAAGAAGAAACTGCATCTCTGCTGTGTGTGTATCTCAGTTAACTGCTGACCTACATCTCTGCTGTGTGTGTCTCTCAGTCAGTTAACTGCTGACCTACATCTCTGCTGTGTCCGTGTCCCTCAGTTACTGGGCTCCCCTCTGGGCTTTCTCTGTGTATCTTTTATCCCCTTCTGGGATATCTGGCACTTTGGATCAGAATGAGTCTTCCCATTTGTAGGCTTTAATTCATTATCTAAGCGCTTAGCTGTTATCTGTGTCTCCTGGGCTCTTGCAGATGCTTGTGACTAAGATCAAAATTCCTGTAGACCAGACCAACACCTGTCTTCTTGGAACCTGGACACAAATTTAATGGGGTGTGCTCAGCGTAGGGGGCCTGGAGAATGGCTTCTCTGTTCATACCACACCCAAGAGGAATCTGGGGCCATTTTGATGAGGGGCACAGTGTGTCCTCTCTGTGAGCAGATCCCCTACATGCATCTCCCCTATTCGTCTACATGGCTTCCAGGAAAAACCGCTGGGGCAGTGTTAGGGGAAGGGCTCCAGGGTTTATCTGGGGAGGCTGCCCTCTAGAGCATACCCAGTTCATGTGTGAAGAGTCCACGGGTGGTCTCAGGAATACAGAGTGAACCTCAGTTCTCTCCTTTTACCACATGGGTTCCCCAGGGGTAAACACATCCAGGCTTGGCCTTTAGCTCCTGAGCTATCTTGCCATCCTGGAACCTTTTTTAAAAGGGTGTGTGAGGGAACTAAAGGTACCTGCCAACAAGCCTGAGGACCTGAGTTCAATCCCTGGGACCTACAAGGTGGAAGGAGAGAACCTGACTCCTGAAAAGTTGTCCTCTGACTTCCACACATTCATTGTGGCATGCATAAGTAGCTCCCCCTCCCCATGTGTGTATAATAAAAAATAAAGAAGTGTGTATCCCTGTAATACTTTTAGTTTTATTTAATTCCATTCATTTCCTGCTTGCTGGTTCTGTCTTGCTTCATCTGCAGGTATTGAGATGTAGATGACTAGCAGACTGAGTGATACGCTGAGTAGTGCTGCTGAGACTCATTTTGAGCAGAGGTGTGTGTGAGTCATCACACAGACAGGGACCCAGAGGCTGAGCTGTAACACAGCTGGGAGTGTCAGACAGCCACTAAATGGCCTGCCAGAGAGAAGAGATTTGTCTGGGACAGAGTGCAGGAAGATGGGTTTCAGTTCCCAAAGGAACCCTTCCTTCCTTCTAAATTGAAATGCTTTAGACTTATCTTGCGTATTTACGTGAGAGTGCATATGATTATGCGCATGCATATGTGTGTATAGCTCATGTCCTCCTGGTGCTGGAGTCACAGGCAGTGTGAGTGCTGAGAATCAAACTAGGGCTCCCTGGAAGAGCAGGAGGCTCTCTCAACCACCAAGCGATCTCTCTAGTCCTATTTACTTTTGAGACAGGGTCTCGCTGAGATCTGCCTCCCAAGTACTGGGACTATGCCTGGCGAGGCAGTTTTCTAAAAGACCTTTATTACTCAAGGGTGTTTGGAGCACCCTACCCCAAACTGGAATTCGAGGTATGCACCGCCATGACCTGCTGACTTTCTCCACTTAACCCGTCAAGAAGGAAAGGGGCTGAGAGGTCTCATGAGAGAGCCAGCCAGCACTGACCCTGCCTGGCCTCTGCTTCCGGATGCAGGCCCCTGTGCTCTCTGGAGAGCACTGTGCAGTATCTTTAGTTCTTGTGAGCTCTCACAGTGCAGGATGCTTGCTCTTAGGAGTTGGACTTCATTCCTTCACCTTGATGTTGATTGCTTAGAAGCATGTATGTATGTATGTATGTATGTATGTATGTATGTATGTATGTCATGTCTGTCTCTAATTATGCAATTAAAAAGGCTCTAAACCACACATGGAGTGTGCCTGTAGTCCTAAGCACTCAAAAAAGGTCACCGAAAATTTGTGGCCCGGGTGGTCTACACAGTGAGTTCCAGGTCAGCCAAGGTCTACACTATGAGACATTTGTCTCAAAAAGGAAGGAAGGGCGGGAGGGAGGAAGGAAGGGAAGGAGAGAAGGAAAGAGGGAATGCAGTCTGCATAAGCATGCCATGGTATAGTTTGTCAACTACAATTAAAGGACTAAATTCTATCTCAAATCTGAGTTTAAAAACCCTGTCATGAGCCTGTGGGTGGTGGCACACGCCTTTAATCCTAGCATTCCAGAGGCAGAGGCAGGCACATCTCTTGAGTTTTTAGGCCAGTCTAGTCTACTGAGAGAATTGGAACATAGTTAGGTCAGTTACACAGAGAAACCCTGTCTCGAAAAACAAAACAACCAACCAACCAAACAAAAAAACCCTGTGACAGTTCTCCGTTAGTTCTCGGGATTTATGGAGGGTTAGTGCGGCACGAGATGTGTATTTTATAGAGGAGACAAGCAGGTGCTTAGAGAAGACAGTAAAAAGCTGCTTTTCTTGTTGGTGGTGAGTTTGGATTCCAGTGGTTCCTCAGCTTCTGGAATCCTGGCACGCTGTTTTACAGGTCATAGTCTTCAGTGGTGGGTGTGGTCCTCTGTGTGGATGGATGTGCACACAGCACAGGTCGGGTAGCAGCCTGGTGACTACTGCCTTAGAGGAGAGTCACTGTTACCCAGCTGTCAGATGAGGTGGTTAAAGTCCTTTCCAGTTATATTGATTAAACAGTTGTTTTATTTTAGTGAGGAAAACATTTGGAAACTCTGTGAATACATCAAAACCCATGACCAGTATCCCTTGGAAGAGTGTTCGGCTGTCTTCATATCAAATGAGAAGAAGATGGTAAGTTGGTAAGTGATGACAGTTAAATGAGATATAGGGCGGCCTCACAAGCTAAGTGCAGTATGGAAGCCATACTATTCTAAAATGTGCTTGATGCTAGCAGCCTTTCGCACTGCTTCCTTTTTCTTCGGTACATTTGATTTAGGAGAATTTGGCCTCTCATTGTAGGTGATGAAGTGTGTGATAGCATGTTTATGTAGATTTCATAAACAACTTTCTTTTTTCGACAGAGTCTCATAGTGTAGACGTTGGCTGACCTGGAACTCCTGTGTAGACCACACTGGCCACAAACTTGTGGTAACCCTCTGAGTACTGGGATTATAGGCGTGCTCCATGTCTGGCTTGGAGCTTTTTTAATTGCATAATTAAGCCATCTGACTCAGATTTGAAGTACACATTTGTCTCTGAAGTTTGAGTAAAGCTGGAGTGAACTCCGCCGAGCATCGGAAGCGGCCCTTTGTGATTTACAAAGTGCTTTTACAGTCGTCGTTTCACTTGGGGCTAATAGAAGCTCTGTGAAATAGGCAAGGTCCAGGCAACTTTCTCTGTTTTACTTATTGACTTTACTTTCTTTTGGAGACAGGTCTCACACACCTAAGCCCACCAGCCTCACAGTCATTACATCGCTGAGGCTGGGATTTCAGGCTTGTACCTCCAAGACCTGCTAACTTTCTCCACTTAATCTGTGAAGAAGGAAGGATGCAGAGAGGGCTGATGAGTAACTGAGAGAGACTGGCGCTGCCTGGCCCTCTGCTCTCTGGAGAACACTGCAGTACATTCAGTTGTTGTGACTCCCACAACAGGATGCTTGTGCTTAGGATTTAGATTTTATTCTTTCACCTTGGTGTTGATTGTTTAGAAGCAGAAACATTTTTGACTTTAGAATTTAATTAAGTTAATTTATCCTGAAATATGGTCTCAAACTCATAGAGGACTACCTACCTCTGCTTTTGAGTGTTGGGATTAAAGGTGTGTGCAACTGTACCTGGCTAATCTTTTTAAACGTGTACAGGTATTTTGCCTCCATGTATGTCTGTGTACCTTGTGCACACTGTGCCTGCAGAGGCCAGACGAAGGGGTTGGATCCTTTGGACCTGGAGATACAGATGTCTATTAGCAATCCTAGGTCTTCTGTAAGAGCAGCCAGCGTTATAAACTGCTGTCCCATCTCCCCAGCCCACTAAGGGGATATTATTACTCACCAGTGTATTGGTGTAGAGAATCTAGGAGGATCTGAATGAGAACCATGGATGTCCTCTATTTTGTAGGTACCTATTTGGAAACAGCAGGCAAGACCTGGGAATGGACCTGTGATCTGGGTAAGATGGCCACCTAAGAGCCTTTGATGCAGTGTTGCTTATGGCCTCTGAGTGACCAATATGTTGTGGTACAGCAGAGTTGAAGGGAAACTAGAGAAAGACCATGACAATTACTAGTAAAAGGATCTTTTGAGAATGGATGTTATTCTGTCTGTGTAGAAGCACTATGGACATGCAGTTTTCTAACCTTTGTTTTGGGATCTGTAATGGTTTGTGTATGAAAAGTCCCATACAGGCTTCTGTGTTTGAATTCCTGGTCCCTAGCTGGTGACGCTGTTCTGTGAGGCTGTGGAACCTCTGAGACCCAAGGCCTGGCTAGTAGACGTGTGTCACTGGGAATGGGCCTTGAAGGTTGTACCTACGTCTGGGTATGTCCTGTGTTCTCCCAGACGGTTGTCACGGGACGAACAGTTGTCTCATGTTCCAGCTGTCATGAAAGTCACTCCCATCTTGTCTTCCTCAGGATTGGTAGACTGTCGTGGGATATTTGTAACTGTGAAGATGTGTTGCTGTGATTGGTGTAATAAAAAAGCTGAACAGCCAGTAGCTAGGCAGAAGGTATAGGCGGGATTTCCAGGGGAAGAAAGGAAGAGATAGAAGAATCTAGGCGTGAGAGAAAATCCAGAAGACACAGAGGAGACAGGAGGTGCAAGATGGAGGAGAGATAATGTCATGTGATAGACCGTAGATTAATGTAAATGGGTTAATTTAAATTACAAGAGCTAGTTAGGAACCAGCCTAAGCTATAGGCTGAGCTTTTAGTAATTAATAAGGAGTCTCTGTGTCATTACTTGAGAGCTGGCTGGTGGTACAGGGAAAGACTAGTTACAGTGTCTGAAACCGTGAGCCAAAATAAACATTTCCTCACGTTAGTTGTTTCTGTCAGGTTATAGAGCTGGGGAACCACACAGGAATCTGAGACAGGTTCTTTTTGTGTAGTCTTGGCTGACCTGAACCTTCTGTTTCTCCTGTCCTATCTCCCAATTCTGTTTCTCCTGTCCTATCTCCCAAGTGCTGGGATTAAAGGTGTGGGCCACCATGGCTGGCTTATAATAGTGTTTGCAAAATCCAGTGTAGGAGAAAAATTTGTGATTTCCCAGTCTTGTACCCATTCTATACCAGTAACTTTTTAAATATAGCTTGGATGCATGTTTGATTAATCTGAGACTGGTTAAAAGTATAAGCACCATGTTTATCTGGAGAAGGGTTCGAGATTGCATGTTCCCATCAAAAGATGGTGGTGCACGCCTTTAATCCCAGCACTTGAGAGGGAGAGGTTGTCTGATCTCAGTGAGTTTGAGGCCAGCCTAATCTACAAATTAACTTCCAGAACAGCTAGGAATACACAGAGAAACCCTGTCTCTTGGGGGGGGGGGGATTTAGTGTTCTCTTTTTAATATTAACTTGTTATTTGTTATTGCATGTGTGTGCACATGTGCAGAGGTGACCAGCTTTGTTGAAGCGGAGTCTCTTGCTTCTGCTGCTGTACTATAGCAAACTCTGGGCTAGCTGGCCTGTGAGCTTCCAGGCCTGCTTCTGCCTTCCATCTCTCTGTAGGAGTGCTGGATTTCAGATGTTCAACACTACATCCGTATGCATAGACTTTTTACCACATCCATAGACTTTTTACATGGGTGCCAGGAATAGAACCTGTGTTGTCAGATTTTTGTGGCTACTTCTTTTTCCTGCTGAGTCCTCCTTGCCTTAAGATGTAGTATTTTAGTTCTGCCTGCATGTATCCCTGCAGGCCAGAAGAGGGCACCAGATCTCATTATAGATGGTTGTGAGCTACCATGTGGTTGCTGGGATTTGAACTCAGGACCTCTGGAAGAGCAGCCAGTGCTCTTTACCTCTGAGCCATTTGTCCAGTCCCAAGATTTAGTAGTCTTAACTAATTCCTAGGTGAACATGACTGGCGGTTGAAAAGCAGGGTTGGTTGTGGTAGAGGGGAATGTAGAGATAAGTAGACTAATGGGCAGCGGCTCTTAGCTCATCTGGAGGCGGGGAGTACACTTGATAGGTTCCATGTCTGCCTTCCTTAACTGGAGTCAGAGCTGGAGGGAGCATCCAGTGTAAGGTTTCTGTTGTTGGGCGTCTTTCCTGTCTCATAAGTCAAAGCGCTAGCATTCCCGGCAAACTCGGATGCGCTGGAAGAATGTTAGATGCTAGTAGCGTGATTTTGGACTGAGCAGTCATTTGATGTTTTCTCTCCACGAGAGCCCTTTTTCCTGGGTTTGAAGCAGCAGCCTGCATTCATGTCCCTTGAGAATCCGGTGGTCCTGGCCATCATCTGGTGCTGGCAGTGCCTAGTCTGGGAATGGGAGCTGCAAAGAGGTAGAGGGAGCGTCCATTCTGTAACAGAGCAGGGCTGTGGGAGCTGTCTTTATCCTTCTCCTTTAGACACTGCAGATGTGCAGGTGACAGCTTGGTGATCTTTTTTTTTTTTTTTTTTTTTTTTTTTTAAGATTTATTTATTGTGTTTACAATGCTCTGCTTACATGTCTGCTTCAACACCAGGAGAGGGCACCAGACCCAAGTACAGATGGCTGTGAGCCACCATGTGGTTGCTGGGAATTGAACTCAGGACCTTTGGAAGAGTAACCAGTGCTCTTAACCTCTGAGCCATCTCTCCAGCCCGCTTGGTGATCTTTTTATTTTTTTGGATTTAATTTTTGTTTTTTAATTAGAAAAGCAGTAAAAATAGGCAGTTAGCATATTCTCCAGACTACCCCCAGGAAGACCCTCTGTTGGCGATTTGGGGGGCAGTCACTTTCTCTACCCCCAGGAAGAGCCTCTGTTAGCAGTGGGGGGCAGTCGCTTCCTGTCACTGTAATGCATGAGTGAGTCACTGTGGAGGAAAGGTATTTTGTGCTCAGTGTCTGCTTTCAGTCCACGATTGCTTGGCTCTGTGTTCGCGCCTATGGTCAGGCAGAGGCATACAATAAATAGGCAGAACTGTTTGTCTCAAGGAGAGAAAGAGAGGAAGGGGCCAGGCTCCCAGTGTCCCCTTCAAGGCTAAGCCCCCATTGACCAGAAGACTTCTCACTAGGCTTCATGGTTTGGGTTCGGCTGGTCCGGCTGGAACTCTCTGTGTACATCAGGCTGGCCTCAGACTCACGGAGTGCTGGGATTAAAGTATGTCTCCGTATCTGTCCTGGACTTACATCTTGAAGCCTCCATTACGTCCCTAGAGCACGCTGATAAATAAGACTTTAACATATGGGCTTTTGTGGGACATGAAGATCCAAAGAATAGAAGAAGATACCTTTGTAGACTTTTTCTGCATTCATACATGTGAATGTGTATGTACTTCTGAATGCACATGTGAGTCTTTGCATGATCAAACTTTAAAATATAATACAGAATACATCAATGTCCTGCAATCTGCTCAGCTGTAGAACATGGGACATCACACAACAGCGGGTCAGACACTGTCGTTGTTTACCATTGTCTAGTCACTGGGCATTTTCCTGGTTGGGGAGTTTTGTGTTTTGTTTCACTTTGTCTTGCTGTTACCAGGAGGGTAGTATTATGGAGATAGCTGCTTTCCTGCTGATGCTTGTGCGCTGGTCCTGTGATGTCGGAATTGACTGTCGTGCACCACCTGGCTAACTCAGTGATTGTTCTTCCTAGGATTACCATGTTGTTCTGCTTCATGTGCCAAGTGGAGGACAGAGCTTCATCTATGACCTCGATTCTATTTTGCCATTCCCCTGCCCTTTCAACATTTATGTAGAAGATGCCCTTAAGTCCGACGATGACATTCATCCACAGTTTAGGAGGTGAGGGATTTCTGAAGTGAGACTTGGTGATTACGCAGGAACCCTCCCCTCCCTGTCTGTCCCTCCTCCTCTTTTTCTCAGTCTTTCCCTTTCTTCACCTCTCTCTCTCCTCTTTGTCACCATCCTCCTAGTTTTGCATTATTGGTGTGCTTACAAGAGCTTAAGAGTATCTTAAAGCTCTGCAGGCTCCTCATCATATAAAAGATGCTGTTATGGACGTGAGTGTGATGAGGGCCAGCCAGGCCTGAGGCTGGACTCTCATCCCTGGAGTCCACATGGTGGAAAGAGACAACTGATGTCTATAGATTACCTCTGAAGATTTCTGCTTTGATTGCTGGAGTGTGGCTAGAGCATGGCTAGTGTTCTCAAACTCAAGAAAATTACAAGACATCAATAAAAAGTCCTAGCCTTTGTCCCAATGTGCAATTGAGTAAATAACAACTGAATAGATTTTCTCTTGTTCTCCCTCCCTCCCTCCCTCCCTCCCTCCCTTTCATTCAAGATTTATTTATTATGTCTGGTGTCCTGCCTACATGTATCTCTACAGGTCCAAAGAGGGCACCAGATCTCATTACAGATGGTTGTGAGCCACCATGTGGTTGCTGGGAATTGAACTCAGGACCTCTGGAAGAGCAGCCAGTGCTCTTAACCTCTGAGCCATCCCTCTAGCACCTCTCTTTACTTTCATAGCTTTTGGTTTCAGTCATTTCAACTTGTTTAGTGGGTAATCAGCCATGTACATGCGTGTGCATTAGTAATCATTTCCTTCAGCTTGTTTAATAGGCAACCAATCAGCCATGTACATGTGTGTACATTAGTAGCAGTGCAGAAATTCTTGAGTAGTTTTGTGCATGTCCTAGGAACGGTCCATTGTAGGAATGAGTTAGAACGGCAGCTGTGATACCTCCCTGACATAAGTTTGTGTTGATTTATCTGCAGGAAATTTAGAGTGGTCCGTGCTGATTCCTACTTGAAGAACTTTGCTTCTGACCGTTCTCACATGAAAGACCCCAGTGGGAACTGGAGAGAGCCCCCTCCAGCCTACCCCTGCATTGAAACTGGCGGTGAGCCAAGGGTGTACCCTCAGGGCCTCTGCCTGATGGCCGCTCAGATCTGCGTTTCCCTTAGCCAGTTCTTGGATAAATACGAGCACTCTGTGTGTTTCCTAGCTTCAGGAATCGAGGGTCAGAGAACAGGACTGGAAGGCAAAAGCACTCAGGGAGAATAAGTGCCATGACCGTAACCATGACCGTAGCCATGACCACAGGGAACCGCTGGCCTATTGTATACATCTGCTAGGGTTCTGACATCACATCTGTGTGTCACATATCGGCCCTGTCAGTAGCACATTGCCATGGTGGGGTTTCATGTGCTGGTAAAAGACTTCCCCAGTGCATCCTTCTGGCATGTGAAGTGCCATTTTGGAGGCCTCGCAATAAACCTGCATTAGGAGGGCTCTCACCGTGCTTGCTTCCTTTGGTCCAGTTGAGAATGAGCGTTAAGGACGTGAGCGTTAAGGACGGAGCAGGTCATTCACCTCTGACTGTTGCTCGGCACTTGTGTGCCTTTGAGACATTACGACTGTAAGTGCTCACAGCATTCCAGTTATGGGTGAGGTCTTCCTGTCATGTTCTGTTCAGTGCAGGCTGCAGGGAAGAGCCCTGCAGGCTGTGCAGGGTTCTGCAGGGACAGCAGGGCCACCGCTAGCTCTTTGAGGAAGAAAGCAAAAGGAGTTATCGTATTTGAAGGGACAGATACTTGAGGGTTCTGACTGAGTTTTGAGTCTCTCGGTGAGAGGCTTCTAATGAAAGAAAAAACAAAACAAAACAACCCCAAATTGTGATTGCTTTCCTATGTCCCACTGCGTCCCAGCTTTCATGTTAGAACTATGAGAGCTGTGAGGAGAGGCTTCCTGGGTTACCTCACTGTCTCAGGTATCCTGCTACCAGGGCCTAGCCTGGACACAGAGCCTTCAGCAGGGACCCGTCCAGGGCCTAGCCTGGACACAGAGCCTTCAGCAGGGACCCGTCCAGGGCCTAGCCTGGACACAGAGCCTTCAGCAGGGACCTGCTTCTCTTGTAGGTTGAGATTCTTTCAGCCTAAACATGTAGATAATTTACACGTGTGACCTCATCAGGACCATTTTGGGTCAGTCCTTTAGCTTTGGTGGCAGGTCATTAGGTGTCCATCCTCACTCACTTTGTGCAGGCTTTGGTTAGCTTCTGCACATATAAATCTCATTTATAATGTGAGCTGGAAGACGGCTCCAAGTGTCGTGCCTGCCAGACAAGCCTGAGGACCTGAGTTTGAATCTTCAGCACCCACACAGAAGGCAGGTGTGATGTGCCTTTAATCCTAGCGCTGGAGGGGTGAGTCCTTGAGCTGTCCTGTCTAGCTTAGCTGGGCCAGTGAAGTCCAGGCTTGGTGAGAAATGTTCTCTTAAAAAATAAGGTGAACAGCCCAGGAAAACAGCCAATGCTGAGCTCTGGTTTTCACATGTGTGAACTAATCTGTGGTATGCATACCCCTATATACACACACAAACATCCCTGCAATGTCTCTTGAAAATGTTGTTTTGTGGGGGAGGATCTGGGAGGAGTTGGAAGAAGAGAAAGACTATGGCTAAAATACATTACATGAAACTCTTAAAGAATAAATAAAAACATTTTTAAAAATTTATTTTATTTTTAAAATTTTTAAAATTATATTTTAAATTTTTAAATTTATAGTTTTTGAAATTAAAATTTAATACCTTGTTTTCTCTTCCCTTTTTATTTCATTTATTTATTTGTTTTTGGCTTTTTGAGACAGGGTTTCTCTGTGGCTTTGGAACTAGCTCTTGTAGACCAGGCTGGCCTTGAACTCACATAGCTCTGCCTCCTGAGTGCTGGGATTAAAGGTGTGCGCCATTACCGCCTGGCATACATCATGGCCCCCTTTTAATTTTTAAATTTTAGTTTTAGATTTAATTATTTTATTTTATATGTGTGGATGTTTTTGCTTGCATTTATATCTATGCACGTAACGATGCCTGAGGAGGTCAGGTGAGGGTATTGGATCTATTGAAAGTGGAGTTGTAAGCCACCATCTGAGTGTTGGGACTCAACTCTGGGTCATTTGCAAGGACAAGTTCTCTTAACCACTAATCCATCTTTCCAGCTCCTCCTATTTATATCATCTGTCTGTCTGTCTGTCTGTTTATAAGACAGGATCTTACTATATATCCCTGGCTGGCCTGGGACTCACTGTGTAGATCAGGCCAGTCTTAAACTCATAGAGATCTGCCTACCTCTTCCTCCCCAGTGCTGGGGTTAAAGGTCTGTGCCATCATGCCTAGCTCTTTTTTTTTTTAAAAATCGTTTTCATTTTATAATGGGTATTTGCTTGCATGTATATACTCTAGAGGCCAGAAGACGGTTCTGGATTCCCTGGAACTAGAGTTAGAGATGGTTGTGAGCTGCATGTGAGTGCTGAGAACTGAACCTGTGTCCTCTGCAGTGGCAGCCAGAGTTCTTAGCCACTGAGCCATCTCTCACACCCCCTTCAGGTCTTTTTAAGTGTGCATGCTGCTCGCTCAGCTCTTTCCTTGCCATTTGTTGGTTGAAGACATTGGGTGTAGGTGTGGCAGCTTGGCAGCTGGCTGACTGTGATCCCTTTGTCCTTCTGAATACCCTGTAAGTTGCCCACTGAGGCCTGGAAATTGACAGTTTGATTATGCATGCACCATTTATGTAACATTTAAATTTTAAATAATTTTAGGCTTCTAGAAAAATTTATTAAATAGGACAGAGCTCTTATATAACCATCTCTCAGATTCCCTTGGTGTTATCCTTGTTTTTTTTTTTTTTTTTCTTTTTTTCAAGATAAAGTTTCTCTGTGTAGCCCTGGCCGTTCTGGAATTCACTCTGTAGACCAGGCTGGTCTCAACCTCAGAGATTCGCCTGCCTCTGCCTCTTGAGTGCTGGGATTGAAAGCATGAGCCACCACCACTTGGCTAAATCTTCTTTTTTTCAGATATGTTTATTTTCAGTTTTATAATGTGTATGGAGTTTTGCCTACATGTATGTCAGTATTCCATGTGTGTTCAGAGCCCAGTCAGAAGGGGGCATCGAATCTCCTAGATCTGGAGAACCATGTGTGGGATGTTGGGGTGCTCTGGAAAAGCAGCCAGTGCTCTTAGCAGCTGAACCATTTTTCCATAACACATAACTAAAGCATAATCACCAGGAGAGAGAAGACAGCGATGGAAAACTGTTGCTGTGTTATATGAAAATAACAGTAATAACACCGTGAAGGTTTTCAGGGCTTCTTATTCATTCATTTTAGTATAGAATTTAACTCAGGGATTTGACATTTGGTTGTCATTTTCTTTTTTGTTTCCTTTAGTCTGTGACAATTCCCTTTCTTTCCCTTTTCTTGTACAACCTTTATGTTTGTAAAGACTGCTGTCCATCTGCTTGGTGGAGCGATGTCCCTTATGCTGGTGTGGTGCTTGTCTTGAAGAGAGTGCTGTGTGTTTGAGACAACATGGTAGGCGTGATCTTGAACCCTTGCTCATTTAAATGGGTTCCTCGCCTCTTAGGTTTCTGGGTTCTTCTGTTGCTGCTAACCTGCAATTTGTTTTACCAGACGTTTCTTTCGTGTTCTTTTCTAGACTCTAAAATGAACCTGAACGACTTCATCAGCATGGACCCTGAAGTAGGATGGGGAGCTGTCTACACACTTTCTGAGTTTGTACATCGGTTCAGCAGTAAAAACTGCTCAGCCTGATGCTAGAATGTGAAACTGAAGAAGTTCTAGGATATGAATAAGCCATCCTTCTATTTAAGGGAGCTGCATGGTACAGGTGGTTTGGAGTTATATTTTTTTCATTAACTTTGAGTGGAAACATTAATGAACAGAAATATGAGTGAATATCTCCTTCCCCCTTTTTTAGATTGGGAATTGATCCCTGAGTTCTGTCTCCAACCCTAAGTCAGTCAGACCCCAGCCTCAGACACAAACAAGTCAAATAAAAGCTTTCTATTGATATGCCACAGGCAGTATATAATTGCTAAGACATCCCCATAGCTTATTTGTTTAGTCATTTGATGACCTAGGCCAGCAATTGTGCATTAAACTACAAGTATGAATAGGCTCTTTTTTCTTGATCTTTCTGCTTCCTGTCCGGCTAGACTTTAAACTCTTTGAGCACAGGGCTGTGGCCTGTGGCTCCTGAATCTCTGTTGCCCATTAGAGGTACCTGTAAAATGTTCCAAAGACAGCTCTGCTGCTTGGAAAGGACAATATTGTGAGCTGAATCAGCTATAAGTATTAGTCTTTTTGGACTATGATGTTTAAAAAAGCTGCAGATATATTGACTGAGTGTTTATTTGGCCCATGTATGTGCATAGTTTTAAATAAAACTGACTTAAAAATCAGTTTTGGTTTTGGAGATTTGGTGGCTTTCTTTTTTTCTGAGGTGGAGTTGGGCAGTGTTGGTGACAGGGCTTTGTGTATGTGACAAGTGCTGTACCAGTACCATCGAGGCCCTCGTGTCACTCGTTATGTGTGTGTGCGCGTGCGCGTGCGTGCCTCTGTGTGTGCGCGTGTGTGTGCGTGCCTCTGTGCGCGCGTGTGTGTGCGTGCCTCTGTGTGCGCGCGTGTGTGTGCGTGCCTGTGTGTGTCGCGTGCGCGTGCGTGCCTCTGTGTGTGCGCGTGTGTGTGCGTGCCTCTGTGTGCGCGCGTGTGTGTGCGTGCCTGTGTGTGTCGCGTGCGCGTGCGTGCCTCTGTGTGTGCGCGTGTGTGTGCGTGCCTCTGTGTGTGCGCGTGTGTGTGCGTGCCTCTGTGCGCGCGTGTGTGTGCGTGCCTCTGTGTGCGCGCGTGTGTGTGCGTGCCTGTGTGTGTCGCGTGTGTGTGCGTGCCTCTGTGTGCGCGCGTGTGTGTGCGTGCCTGTGTGTGTCGCGTGCGCGTGCGTGCCTCTGTGTGTGCGCGTGTGTGTGCGTGCCTCTGTGTGTGCGCGTGTGTGTGCGTGCCTCTGTGTGCGCGCGTGTGTGTGCGCGTGCCTGTGTGTGTGTGCGTGCGCGTGCGTGCCTCTGTGTGTGCGCGTGTGTGTGCGTGCCTCTGTGTGTGTCGCGTGCGTGCGCTTGCTTGTGTGCCTGTATGTGTGTGTGTGCGTGCATGAGTGCCTGTGTGTGTGTGTGTCGCGTGCGTGCGTGTGCGTGCATGTGCTTGTGTGCCTGTATGTGTGTGTGCGCGTGTGTGTGCGTGCCTGTGTGTGTGTCGCGTGCGTGCGCGTGCCTGTGTGTGTGTGCTTGTGTGTGTGTGAGAGTGCCTGTGTGTGTGTGAGTGCAGGACAGAGGTTGATGTCCTTATTTTGGGGGCAGGGTCTCACTGATTGGGCTAACCTGGCTGTCCAGTAAGCCCTGGGACTCCTCTTGTGTCTGTCTCCATGGCATGGAGTTATAGGCACGCTACCTTGTTTGGCTTTATGTGTGAGTTGGGGGTTGAACTCGCGTCCACATACTTATGTGCCAGGCACTTTACTGACAGTCATCTTCCCCAGAGGCCTGAGGTAGTGAGAATGGTGATGGTCCCCAACATCACTCTTGATCAGAAATACTTAAGAAGGTCTCCATCATAGATGAAAACCATTGCTCTAAAGTACATTTAGCATACACACCTGCCTTCTTGAAGGTGCCTTAGGAATTTGACTCAGTCTTATAATTTTAAATAAAGATTTTATATGAAGGGTATTGTTGTAATGTCTCTGATTGGTGGTTCTATTGTAAAATTAAAAACATTTTTTTATTTGAGATAATCTTTTCGTGAAACATAGGCTGACCTGGTATTCTCTATGAAGCCTGGGCTGTTCTTGAACTCATGGCTTCTACCTGCTCCAGTATCCTGAGTGCTGGGGTTTCAAGCATTCTCCACCACACCCAGCTTAATATGAACAATTTCTTACAGTAGATATGTCTGAGCTTTGCTCTTTCATTTGGCAGGAGTCCCCTGCCATGTGCTGTGACAGGAATCTTGTTAGGTTAGGGAATGTCACTTTCCCATTGGGATCCTGTGTTTAGGATGATTCTGGAAGGAAGCCATTGAACTTTTGTATGAGAGCTGGGAAACGTCTCTCTTTTTCTTTACATGTGTGGAACTCACTATGTGACCCAGCCTGGCCTGGAATAGATGGCGATGCTCCTGTCTCAGCTTCCAAACCCTTGGGATTGTGGACATGAGTCACCGTGTGTAGCTTGGGGTCAGGAGTGTCAAATCCCCAGGCCACTGGGTTTTTGGCCAATGCCTGTCAGGTGCTGCAGGGCTCTTGCTTTTGTGTAGTGTATCCAGTCACTTTTGCATCACTGTGACTAAGCTGCAACTTGACAATTTAAAGGATGAAGGACTGATTTTGGCTCATGGTTTCAGTGCATTCTGGCAAAGAAGGGATGATGGATCAGCAAACAGATGCACCAAGGGGTGGGAGGAACCAGGGCCTGGATATAACCTTCAAAAACCTGTCCCTGGTAACTTACTTCTTCTACCAGGTAGGCCCCTCCTAAAGGTTCTATGGCTTTCCAGTTCACCACCACTGGCTAGGAAATAAGCATTCAAACACTAATCTGTGGGAGATCTCTGACATTCAAATGGTAACAGCTCAATTCTGTTTCTTTTTTCCAGACTTAACACCATCCTTTCCCAGACAGGTTCTTCAGGCCTTAACTCCGAGCTTTATTCTACCTTTTGGTGTGGAAAGCCTGTTACAAATAAACTTTTGCAGGTAGCAAAGAACACCAAGGAACTGATTTAATTACCTTTATTCTTCTATTCTTGGAAAGCATCTAATTCTGGCTCCTGGTCAAAAACATGGGTGTAAATTCTCTAGTCTTGTATCTCATACTGGGACTAGGTAGTCACATACACAATGTTTTTTCTCCCTTTCCTTTAGGCTAACCATACAGCCCAGTGTTGGAGGGCAAACTTTTACTCTCTCAGTCCACGGAGACTGTGGCCTTGCCCATAACCTATAGCAGTGTCTTGTGGAGCATGGCTTTTAATAGTACCTGTTTTTCTTAAAGGAGAAGTGCTGGCAACATTTCCCTTAGCATCAATAGATAGTCTTTCCTGGGGTTCCCACGGGGACCTGAGGGTTAGAGCAATACCCGGGAAGAGCATTGGAAGCAAATTGCAGGGTAGGATGTTAATACAGTCATACTGTGCTGGTCCACAGGATACAGAGCGTCACTCAAGCTCTCTGGGGCCAGATGCTGAGCTCTTGTCCCTGTACTCAGTTTACAAGGAAGGAAAAACAATCCTATTTCCATCACTGCTTGATATTTGCTAGTCCAGGAAGCACCTTCATCTCCCTGGCTGGGCTGCCTCGCCCAATCCGGTTGTTCTAAGGAGCAAATGAGACCATATAGGAGGGGAGAGGAAGAAGAGAGAAAGCGGGGAGAGAGCTTTGAGGCCGAATGTCTTCCTTGCCCTCTGCACTGTACCTCCTGAAGCAGGACCTGTTGAACCCAGTGTTTGCCAGTCCTGGCTAGTCTAGCCAGCCCACTTGCTCGCGGGTCCCCTCACCTCTGTCTCCCTGCTGCTGGCATTACAGGTAGCTGCTGTGCCTGCCCAGCTTCTAGGTGTGTTCGGGCCCTTACCTTAGGGTTTCTGTTGCCTGTGATGAAGCCCCATGACCAAAAGCAACTTGGGGAGAAAAGGGTTTATCTCACACTTCCACATTACAGTTCAGCATTGAAGGCGGCCAGGGCAGGAACTAATGGTGTTTACAGGCTTTCCCAGCCCGCTTTCCCCTTTTATGTTTAAATTTAAAAAAAAAAAAATTTTTTTTTTTTTTTTTTTTTTTTTTAAGGGGCTCAGAGGTTAAGAACACTGGCTGCTCTTCTAGATGTCCTGTGTTCAATTCCTAGCAACCACATGTTGGATCACAACAATCTGTAATGAGGTCTGGAGCCCTCTTCTGGTCTGTAGGCATACATGCAGGCATAACACTACACATAGTAAATAATATTAAAAATTTTAAGATTTATTTTATGTATGACTGCTCTATCTGCATGTATAACTTTATGCCAGAAGAAGGCATCAAATCCCACTATAGATGGTTGTGAGCCTCTAAGTGGTTTCTGGGAATTGAACCTAGGACCTCTGGAAGAGCAGCTGGTGCTCTTGACTGCTGAGCCATCCTTCTAGCCCTCAGCCTGCTTTCTATAGAACCCAGAGCTACCAGCTTCACCCACAATGGGCTAGGGCCCTCCTCCATCAATCCCCAATTAAGAAACTGCCCTCCAGGCTTGCCTACAGCCTGATGGAGGCAATTTTTCAGTTGAGGTTCCCTCCACAGATAACTCTAGCTCGTGTAAGTTGACATGCTTGTGTGGGCCCAGTAAACCATCTCTCCAGCCCAGATTAAATACTTTGAGCCGCCAGGAGCCTCATAGGCTACTGTTGGTTAGCTGGAAGCTGTGATGTACATGAACTCACTTAATCTTTAGTCCTCAGACTATAGCACAAGACACAGTCATTTTCTCCATGTTAGAGATGGGAAAACCAAGCACAGTAAGGTAACACAGTAAGGTAAAGTAACATACTCAAAGCTACACAAGTGCTGACTGACCAGAAGCCAGGCATTCCTGCTTCTGGTAACCATTTACCCCATTTCTAGGTTGTTCAGCACCCACTGCTTTCCTTTGATTAAAAAACACACATATTTTATGTGTATGGGAGCTTTGCTTACTAGTGTGTCTTGTGCCATATGCATGCCATGCCTGCAGAGACCAGAAGAGGGCGTCGGATCCCCTGGAACTGGAATAACAGGTGGCTGTGAGCTCTGGGAATTGAACCCTGGTCCCCTGCAAGGGCAGTGAGTGCTCTTCACTGCTGAGCCCTCTGCAGCCCCCCAGCTCTACTCCACATTCTGTCACCAAATGTCACCATGGCTTCCGCTACTTGGTGGCACATGTTTTGTAATCTCAGTAGTTAGGGGACAGAGGCAGAGGCATCAGGAGGTCGGTGTCATTCCTGCCTATACAGCAAGTTTGACAACAGTCTATGAGAGTCTTCAGAACCCCCAAAACATCTTTCTAATAGAGATGTCGTTAATGGAGACTTGAATTCAAGTCTCCAGCATCTATGTGAAAAATGGATGTGATAGCTCATGTCTTTAACTCCAACACTAGGGATGCAGAGACAGGTGGACATATTCAGGTACACACACATACACACACACACACACACACACACACACACCAGCAACATCCTCTCCAGAGTAAAGAAAATAAAAATTAATCCTCCCCTTCTCTTATGTATGCATTTACCCACTTTAATTTTTTTTAATGAGCACAAATTCTTTTTTGAGTCTGGATCTCACTGTGTATTCCTGGATGCCATGGAGCTTGCTTTGTAGACCAAAGCCATGTGCCTGGC